GCCAGGAGCCCCTAGTAGCGTCCTTGCTCCTAGTAGTAAGGCCAGGAGCCCCTAGTAGCTTCTTGTTCCTAGTAAGTAGCGATGCCAGGAGCCCCTAGTAGCGTCCTTGCTCCTAGTAGTAAGGCCAGGAGCCCCTAGTAGCTTCTTGTTCCTAGTGGCGATGCCAGGAGCCCCTAGTAGCGTCCTTGTTCCTAGTAGCCTCCTTTACTACTAATTTATATTTTGTTTCTACTAGCTGCTTGTTACTAGTAGTAAGGCCCTTGTTCCTAGTAGCGATGCCCTTTGCTACTAGTAGCGTCCTAATTGTATACTGTACGAGCTTTGCAAATCTTTCAACTATTCTTTTCAGCCTTCACACAATTCAAAGAGGCCCAGCAGATCAGAATCATCCAGCACCTTGAAGCCGCTTGGACTCTTAGAGTGTGTCTCTTAGAGTGTGCCTATGTGTGCGAATCCAGGTTTCAGAGTTGGGAACAGGTCTCCGTCTTCAGTCTGCGACCTCTTGTGCAAGGTTGCTCCTAAGAGCCGAGCCAGCTGAAGAGAGCCGTTGAGGAGCGGCAACCCCTGCACTCCAAATTCCACGTTCGATGGAACAATCCATGTCAATTTCACCGCAAACATACACTGGCTTTATGCGGCAATGTTAGTTTATAAACTTCTCTCACCTCACTGCGGGAGATCTCACGCAACGGCACGTGGTGGACCTCCTTGCCCGGCAAGGCGGGATGAGCCGAAGAATCTACATCCTACCAAAGACAACCTACTTGCTATTAGGTTAGGGGCCATCGCTATTGGGTTGGAGGCCATCGCTATTAGGTGGGGGGCAAAGCGCTTGAGCAGCTTGCTTCTTGGATCAACAAATGGGTCCTGGAGAGTGAAGGCCTCGCCATGCCTCCGGAGCTGAGCAATGAAGATGGCTTGCTCCTCACCAGGACACTGTCTGATAGCTGAGCCATAAGTACAGCGGGTGAAACTTAGGAGTGATGAGCCTAGCGCTGGTTGCCACATCAAAGCCTATTGAATTAGCAAAGCAAGTTTCTTGTAAAATTTGAGCCCAGACGAGCTTGAGCACTTACCTGCTTCTGCGCCTCAGTACCTGAAAAATCTGAGTAACAATAAAGACTATTGCACACGAAACCTGGCTATGGCACCAGGGCCTGGCCATTCATAAATTCATAATCTATCACCTCACTCCACATGTCCCTCTTGTGCAGTCTGTGCTCCTCCAGGTTCTCTGGCAGAGGCAAGTGCCAGGCAAGCTGCACCTCCTGCAGCTGGATTCGGCCTCAAATCGCATCAGGGGTTTCAGGCATCCATCAAAGGCCCAAATTCACAAACAAATGTGTTGATCTTAAATGTTGGCAAGCACTGCTTGGTATCGAGCCAGGTGATCGCAAAGACCAGTCCACCCAAAGAAGATGCTGAGGCTCCCCAAGTCCAACCTTTTGTCCAACCACACAGCGTTAGCTGTTCTTGACTCTTGACCGGGACTCACTGGCGGACTCACCAGTTTTCCAGAGACCTAAGAGACTCACAGATGCACCTGTCCCTTTTATCATATAGTTATAGTACATTATAGCTATCTGTATAATATATATATATATATATGCGTGTGTGTGTGTGTGTGTCCACCCCTGGACAAAGGGTTTCCTTCGACCACTCCAATCAGGCAGGGGGCTCACGGGTCTGTTCCTGGCGTGAGCCAACGAAGCTCCAGGTTCAGACTAGGATATCGAAAGAGGACGCTCTTTCGACGTACCTGCAACCTGAACTTTTGACCACGCTGTCTAATCTGCTTGGTTTGTTTCCATGGTTTTTCATGATACCCTCCCCTAAACCATTTCTTCCCCAGCATTTGCGCCGCTGATTTGCTTGCTGCCGCCTTCGTGACAACAATGTTAAACCTTTCAAGTGCTCGGACCTATGCACCTTTCTGTTCTCTCACCTTCCTTCCCAACGTGACTTGCGTTAACTGAAAACCAGTGTCAGAGTGTGTTTCGCTCAGCCGTCCCACTCGGGTGCTGAGTGTGATCCCCGTCACTGGGGCGCCGATTTTGCATGGGAAAGCAACCACCCCAACGCACCACCGCTCACTGGACTCTCACAGGAAGGCACCGACACCCTCACAGAATCAACTGACACACCGGCCGCCGGGCCAAAAAACGGTTCTTGTCGAATACATCAGATATCAGGTTTCAGATTTCGGATCGGCTAAGTATTCACCTGCCTGCGCTGCTAAGTATTTCACAGGCCGGATGAATTCATCATGCACAACCCCCCCCCCCC